GAGCCTCTCTTTCTTGAGCAAAGCGATTTCTTGCAGGGAAGACAACAGTGCAAGACGTGTTTGATTGCCTGACGGGCTCTGAGTATCCAAAACTCGGATCTGAGTTCTGACAAACCGATGTGAACTCCGAGGTGGTGGAGGCAAATGTGTGTCTGCTGTATAAGCAGTCGAGAGAAGTGGTGTTGTCCATCAAGGAGAATTGGGTGGCGCTGCTCTCTGGATAACTCCGCAAACTGCAGACGTCCTCCGAGACGAACAAGTCCGTTGTCCAAGAATGGATTGAAGCGTGCTATCTTAGATCTTTCTGGTAGTGGTGAGCTCTTAAGAATTGCGTCTAGTTCCATGGTGAAATGTTCTCTTTGAACAATTTGCAACCAGTAGAGGCGTGCGTTTGATAGCTCCGAAGCTGTCAATTCACCGAAAGTCTTCTCCTTCTGCCTTATATTTTGTTTGAAGCGGAGCACCCACGCTGTAATTCGGAGTAACTTCCAGTAGGAACTGTACCGTGTAGCGTCTAGAAGAGGGGTCGATGTTTTCACTATGAGGACCTGATGATTCAATTTCCTTACTTCCGGCAAAGGAGTGTCCGTTGTAGGTGCATCAAGTGGCCAGTGATGCACAGGCTTTGACAGCCAAGAAGGTCCGTGCCACCAGATATCAGAATTCTTGAGTTTGTCTGCTGTTACACCTCTCGAAAGAAGATCCGCTGGATTCTCCTTTCCAGGGCAGTGTCTCCATTGTGATGTATTCGTGTGATTATGAATCTCGGTGACACGGTTGGACACGAAAGGCTTCCATCTATTGGGGTCGTGGCGTATCCAGCCTAGGGTTATAATTGAATCGGTCCATAGCAATGCGTTTCTGACATCGAAATTCGTAGCTTCACAAAGATAGCGTAGCAGTCGTGACCCAAGTAACGCTCCCAGAAGCTCTAATCGAGGTAGTGTGACCCTTTTAACTGGCGCAAGCCTGTTTTTACTACAAAGTAAGCGGACAGAATAATGATTGCAGGTGGAGGTGCGAACATAGAGAACCGCTCCATATGCTCCTTCCGATGCATCACAGAATACATGGATTTCATAACTGTCTTTATCTGAAGTACCAACCCATCGGGGAATGAGTATATCAGATGGTGAGGGCAGGGTTGATACCCACCTATGCCATCGTGTGCCAAGATCGGGTGGCAAAAGCTCATCCCATCCTATACCCCTAGTCCAGGTGTCTTGGAAAAGTGTTTTTGCTATGAGAGATACGGGTGACAGCAATCCCAGTGAATCGTAAAATCTTGCAGCGGTTTGCAGTAGCTGTCGCTTGGTTACAGGACCATCCCTCAAATTGTTCGTGACGTTTTTACGATCCACGGTGAACGTGTCGGTTCTTGTATTCCAATGTGTCCCTAATACCTGCGTTTCCATATTGATTACTAGGCCCTCTGTCTTCCATAGTTCCATCAAAGGCTGCGAGTTCGTAGCCCACTTTGCCATTGGTAGACGAATTCGTCCCATGAGCGAAGTCACTTCATTGTACAGGTTGATCACTCCGTCGTCGTCCTCAGCACCGGCAGCGAAATCATCCATGTACATATTCTTATCAACAAGGGACGTAGCTTGAGGAAATATATGCTTGTACATTGTGGCAAGTTCTCGCAGCGTGGCAGAGAGGAGGAAGGGGCTACAGGTAAGTCCGAATGGAAGTCGGGTGAAGCGATACGTGATCAGATCGCTGGTTGTGATGTATTCCCTTCCTGGTCCAAGATTACTCTATACCACAGGAACCTTGTAAGATCTCTGTGTTTTCGGTGTAACACTAATTGCAAGAATGCCTGGCTGATGTCTCCGATCAAGGCAACAGGATACAGTCGAAATCGTAATAATATTGCGAATAGATCTGGAAAAAGATTCGGACCCATTTGCAAAGAGTCATTAAGGGAAGGTAGTTCCGAGCTTTTCCTTCTTTACGGCGTCCGCTCGACTATGTAACGGGCCTACGTGTGACGTAGCGGACCCCAGCTTGGACGGAAAAGTGTGGCACTGTTTGTCAGCTCTTAACTTGAACTACAAACGTAGAGACGCTGAGTAGCAAGCGTGTGGAGGTCAGAGGGCATTCAAGAAGACGAACGGCGGAAGGATTCGTCAGGTGATTCACTGGCAAAACAGAGTAACTGGCAATGTGCCAGGCAAACACGTGACTTTCGGCCAGTGTTGTTTCACGGTGGACAGCGCCGAACGCTGATTGGAGGGCTCGTCAAGTCGCTGCCCGAATGTCGTGCTTCTGATTCCGTTTGCTCCGGGGTGTTTCAGCGATTTCGTCTTGACCCCAGTGTCCCCTCGCCACGCGCTCATGCGTTCCGTGCATAATAGGAACTTCGTGCCGCCCGCCTGCTGCCTCTATCTGCTCGCTAACTTAGTATCGCGATATATTACAGGTTGAAGACAGGAGGCAACGTGTAGATTTTTTATATGACACACGATTTTTATGTTAGTATTTCAGTGACGAGCCACGTGTTGGTATGGGAGCTTTTAAACTGGAGTGAAACTCTCGTTTTTACAGAAGCAGCGCCTGTCTGGCTTTATAGTGTTTACACCATAAAACGTAATCCAAAGCTTGATTCATATTCCATTCATCTCGCCTCCTCCTCTCTTTCTGTCCACCAAGGGCATTTTAGAAATTCGCAGTTTCAGGTGATACGATATCCTACTGCACCCTGGTGATTTCAAAAGTTCCCTGACGTGCAGAGTCCCAGTTTTAAATCTGGAGATCTCAGTTTGTTACTCATCCCTTCGCGTGGCTGAAGATAAAGAGATTGAAAGACAACGCGAAGAGCCCTAAAAGAAGAGGAAGAAGAGCGACGTCCTCGGGTTCCTTTCCGTATCTCTGTTTTTGTGGTGTTGAGTGGGCACTAGCAGATGAGCGTCTCAAGTCTCAGCTGAGTTAAAGCTTTACAGCACAGTGGTAACTATATGTACCACATACTTCAACATTTAATAACTCTGCACATTGCTCAAAGAGCGTGGATATGTGCTCCGTATAATTATCACAATAAACAGCGATTATTTCCTGTAACAGCGTTAAACAATTTAACTTTGCAATGCTGATTTGTTTTCTTCGCAGCAGGGAATGATTTTTTATTAAATTCCTCGCATATTCTTCATGATTCAAGGAGAAAAATAGTTAGTTCATAGTCTCTTTATCGATGCTGTATCAACTTCAGAATTTATTTAACTTCAAATAAACGAGAGAATTGTTATGAAAGACGAATTAGTTGAGAAATGAAGTCAATTCGTGGTGTGAAATATTTAAACGTTCGAAATTGACTTACTTTAGGAACCAACTTAAGAATTTTCAGCGAGAATAAGTCTATCAGAGTGAGGCGAAAACTCAAAAATACGTTCTGGGACAACGTTTCCCAATAAAAAGTCACAGAATTGGACACGTTACATTTAACTATTTTCCTTCTCCACTCGTTCCCAGGTGTGTGGGTTGAGGCTCTGAAGCAGACGCACATTTGTTGATGACAACTCTCAACCAATGAATTAGCTTCAGGACATAAGCCACTCTGAACAACATTTTAAAAACTCACGTTATTATAATAATCCTGTTAACTGCCTGATCCGAACCACTAATTACGTTTAATGAAGTCCTGAGGTCGTTCTGATGTGAGGCACAAGAGACTTATAAAACATTTGCTTAGGGTACCGCAAACTACAGGGTTCGAGGGAAAGTGGGGCAGGAGAGAAAAAGGGCTGAAAAGAAAGGTCCAAACAGAAATCAATGGGGATAGTAGAAAATGAAGAAGTTCATGAACTGAAAAAATAATAATAATAATAATCCCAAACTACAGTAATACTATAGTCTATAATTACGATACACGTAAGTAAATTATTTTAATAATATGGTTAGGATTCAAGATAAAGAAGGGAAGAAACATTTTTAGTAGGATTTGGGGTTTTAAAACTGAAGAAACAAGTGTTGTTGAAATACAAATAAACAAACTTGTGTTTCAACTACGGTATTCTGTGCTGACGTTACGGGGTAATACGATGTGTAACGGTTGGTAGAGTGATGCCTTTCCTAGTTGCTAGGTACTCTATGGTGAGATGCTGAGCACTATTTGGCTTAACGTCCCCTGGGAGACGCAATCCTGCCATCTTACTTCGTGACCAGAATGTGCAAGCTACTGGTTCGCGTGCTGGCAAACTCTTTCGTTAGTTTATTGTTTAAAACCGTGTTCGTGGTTACCAGCATCGAGCGCGGCAGCCGTGTTCGGCTGTTGATCGACGCTGTTCGTCAGTTCTCGCAAGATCACCATGAATGCAGCACGTGCAACGGCTGCCTTTATGTTGATGTTCAACATTATGGAAGAAAATAGACGAGTCTTAGTCTTCACGGCTCTCAGGTTTATCAAAAATCTTCATAGCGCAATCAAAATTTTATTTAGAAAGCACGCGTTAGATTTTAAGTTATCACGGCGGTGACAATTTCTTGGGTTAATATCCAGCGTAGTCTCGTAGAAATTTGACGACGTTTCAGAGGCACTTACTCTCTCCATCATCAGGGCAAATGCATAATGAGCAACACGATAAACTTCACTCTTCATAGAAACGGGCACAAAAGTTTTGGATGGAAAGCCTCAAGGGAAAATAAAACTTGGGAGTCGTATGCGCATAAGGGAGGATAATATTAAAATGGATCTTAGAATAGTAGGCTTGAAGGATGTCGATGGGATTCATTTGGCTCAGAATTGGACCGTCGCGAATAAGATAATGAGTCTCAGTGCCCGTGAAAGTCGAGGAATTTCTTGACTAGGAGGTGAGCGTACTATTTTATTCTCTAGAATGACTCTGTTCAATGGAGTTTATTTCTGAACATTTTTTCGAACAGGAAACGTAAATAACTGGAAACTGCTCAGTGAAGTCGCTGTAATCAGTCACAAAGATAACTGGGTTTTTATTTATTAACTACATCCCATCATTAGTAGGAACACACACAATCCACAATTTCTTTCGTTACTTAGTCTTGAGCCAACTGCAATCATATTCCGAGCTTGTGAGGGTACACGTTGCTTCGGTTTACCAGTGATGATGAAACATTCGTACGTCGAAATAGATGGATCTTTCGATCTTGTGCACTTACAAGTATGAAAAGTCTGCAGTAGCTATAATCTGTACTTCGTATCTTGAGAGAAACCATTCTTAGGCACTTGTCGTTGGTTGGATATGAGAAAATTTTCCAAAAAAGAAAAGAAGAGACCTTACCTCCTCAGTTGTTAACTGTGATTTCAATGCGCCAATATAATTTCATAAAATGCCGTATATACACTGAGAACGTAATGAATTCTTGAGGGTGTTGGTACGCAGACTAGTTGGACCCTGTGTTCTGCCCGGAGCTAGCAGGAACGCCACAGACACGCACAGCTTTGTCAGGGGAATCTCATTCCTCGTCAGAACAAGAGCAATGGAAGACAACGACGACGAAGAAATTCACGACACGAAAGACCGAGTCCTTTCATCAAAGTGTTTTCACTTTGTAACCCACAATTCCACAAGTAACAGGTAAAACGTCGAATCCCAGTGTAGACCACTTCTTGAAACAACGCACCCTATTACTGAGAAGACATTTTAATATTATCCCCCATCAATGCCTGGTCTCCCAGGCGGGTTTTCCTTTCAGGCCTTCCTACTAAAATAATGTCTACTTCTCTCCTGCGTGCTGAATACCCCGTCCATCTCATACAATTATGAAACCACCATCTTGTCTTAGACTACGATAATAAGCTTACTGACCAATGTATTATTCACCGTCACAGTTTGCAGACTCGCTCTATTGCTCTAGGGACCACTAGGCTATCAAATAGGTACCGATGTTTTTTTTAATGGCGGTAATGCGGATGGGGCCACTCCTACATACGTCTGCACTGCGTCGTACTCAGTTAACGAGCCCTCTTGAAGTTACAGATTTCTGAAGTAGTTCTAACTCTATAAAAGTGTTCAAGGAATAAACCGACTCCACAAATTGTCGCCCTTCGAAGTCCCTGAATCATATGTTCCCTAACGAGATCTACATTAAGATAAAAGTTTGTAGCCTTAGGTTGAAAACAGTGGATGTTTTTTAAAAAAGTTTGTTTTAATTCGTTTTACGCCGATAACTTTCTTCTCTGAAGATTCAGCACATCTCCTAAACTAATAATTGTGAAGAAGCGATGTTAGGGATAAAGAAGATTCAGAAATACTCCTGAATTTCATCCTCTTTAAACTCTGAGCAGAAACTTATTACATAACAAAGATTCACAGCAGGTCTAAATGACATTACGTCTTCGATAGACTGCTTCAAAGACGAATATGCCTGTCTTGTAGACTGCTGAGGCGTGTGGTCTGGTATAAGTTTACTGACTTTTCAGAGATCCTTGATACCTCCATAATCAGAGCGACGATGCAGGCAGCAAGTACCTCTGAATCGTCGGAAATCTTCTACCAGACCACACGTCACAACAACTCAGAAGACAAGCCATCTTCATATTCGAGGCCGTGAGAACATGAAATTTCACGAACTGTCTTAACACTAACCTACCGTTTTTTTTGCAACTGTCTGGACTCGGATTGAAACCAAGTGGTTAATTATTCGATACCTGTGCATTTATTAATGTAATGCCATTAAAATCGTCCAATTAATAAGTGAGGTACGAAGATTTGAACGTAAAGAAATAAACCGAAGACTGTGCTAGGAGAAACATTCCCCCAGAAAGGAATAGAAAGATTTTATCCTACCAGATGATGATACACGTGTTTGACTATAGATATGTTGTTTTTCTAAATACGATAAATGTGATTCTATAGTTCTGAATAACAGCCTATAGAAACCCAGGTTTTAAATGTTGCCACAAGTGACAAAACGCCTCTATATTACATGTGACGAAGCAGGGCTGCAGACACACAAGACGGAAGATCGAAAAACACAGATTCGGCTATGGAATAGACTGTCACATAAACAAAACTTTTGGAAAGTAGGAAAAATGTTTATGTTCCTTCAGAGAGTTAATAAACATACTTATATTGTTTCTTAAGAAGAAATTAGGGATCCGATTAACAATTAAATTCTGTTACCATAGTTTAACCGTTGATAGCTCGAGAGATATAATTTGTCTTGACGTGTGTTATTTCCACTCATTAAATAGAACAATTTTCAATAGGAATAAATCCTACGCTCATAACGTTCTCATAGTAAATTTCATTATTTCAGTATAGTTAATTTTCTAGAAACATGAGTAAAAATGGGTTCTTTCGCAAGTTTCATATTATCTTTTGTTACACAGGATATTAGGATAATTAGGACTGAACCGATGTCACGGTCCAGTAGTTAGACCTCCTCGCATTTGGAAGGTCACAAGTTAAACCTTAGTCCGGAGAATTAATGAGGTTTCTTATAATTCTTATAACTTTCTTGGGCTAGTGCCTTAAAACAGGTCACGACCGTCTCCTCCCACATCCCTTCCAAATCATTATTTACCAATAATCCGATAATTCTACGTCTGTACTAAGAAGTTTAGAGCGTCATTAAATATACCAAGAGAAAATCAGGTTTCCGAAGATAGCCGAATTATATAAAAGGACTGATTATTGCTGTGGTTCACTGTATGGTTCCGAAGGACTAGATCTTATAGGTTAAATACCAAACAATTAATCTCTACCAGTAGATGCATTTGTAATAAATTAATATATAAAATATTAGCGTCATTAGTAAATAAATATTTCCAGTGTTTTAAATAAAATCTTCATGTCATGAAAAATTTCCTTAGCAACAGATGCTTGTTTTTAAAAAGATTAATTGCTAAACCAAATTCCACGTCGAAGTTTATAGCAGAAGTCCCAAAATATTCCATTCTTGTTGTATATTGTCCTTGTGTAGCTGTTGGTCTTATCAGTTAACACGAAAGTTCCTGCATTCTATAGACATTCATAAAATATCCCTATTGTCATGAATTAATCCTTGCATTCTTTTTAAATGAACCTGCAAATTGAATCAGGCAGTTACACATTCTTTGATTATATCTTTAAATGGCTTTTCCTGAATCATCCCAAAGTACCGTAATAAGTTATATTTTAATATAGCCACCATAGGAAATACATAGGATATTAAAAGATTAATTCATTTGGATCATTAATGAAACAGAAAAAGGGTAATATTGTGTGAGAGAAAGTGGAAATAATATTATTTGTATCTTTACTAATCCTTGTTTGTGAATAATTTGTGATTTCTGCTAGACGTTGAGCTGTCATTTTCAGATTGCAGAACTTGTGTCATAGGTAAATATTAATCATGGTTTTAAGGACCAGTGGCAGGTTCTTATAAACATGTAAATATCACGACTGAATTACCATTAGCTTATCAAGAAAGACTTTGCTCTCTGATGTTTGTTGCTTTAGAAAATATGAAAGAATTTGACGTAATGCAGAATGTTTCTGTTTAGCTCAAAGATGTGACAGACCCAGTGAAGTTGAGTGACTTGCCAGACTTCACAGCTCGAGTGGGTGTTGTACCAAAAGGAAGTGTGAGTCCTGATTTCACATTAGTTAAATTGAATTAATTTCTTTATTCCGAATGAAGCGAAGTATTTTGGTCAGATACAAAGCTTCTCAGACTAGGTTTGTCATAATGTGCTGCCTGGGTGAGACTGTCTTGCTCCGGTGACTGTGATAAATGAGTCTTGAATGTACGATATGAAGCATGCTGATCGAACAATATAAACCCAATATTTATTGAAGTGAATTATTAATTATTCTTATTTATATAATTTCAGTGCAGGAAAACCTAATGTGGACATTGTGTTTGAATGTATTATATTATATTGTGGATTGCTTTCTCCAGCATCTGTTACTTTAAGTCTAATTAAATGTGCCTATGTTTTTCTTACTCTGGTTTCTACTTTAAAAACTAAACTGATATATGAATAATCAAAGGTGATACGATTGAAATGTGTTGAGCAGAAAAAACAGAGAGATAATGCACTGTCTTTAAGATCTCAGAGTACTATCATAATTTTCATATTCTATATATTGTTTCTTGCTAAGAAATAGTAGTTTCTATTGTAACAAACCACCTATGGTTTTGACTAATGAGGGATTATATCCTTTGAAAATTTTCAGTTTAGTCCCTTTTCCAAGGTATGGTATTAATGAGCACTGGTTTTCCATGTTCTTGAGTACTCAATGTCTCTGCATCCCACAGGTTCAAATGTTACGTCTTGTCACGTCGCTCTGCGTGGATTCATTTCCGCAACGTGTCCATGCAGTCATTCGCACGGTTTATGTAGTAATGTACGACCCGGCAAACACTGTCAGTTTGACGATGCGGCATTGGCAATACTGGCAGATCATAAGCGAGGCGTAACATTGCACAGAGACATTTTATTAACATTCGGTATAACGTTAAAATATAATTTAGAAATATTCATTAAAAAATGTAGTCCAGCCCTTCTAAAGACACTACCCAATAAGATTT